AAAAATGTCATTTAGGCCCTTAGTTTGGCCGCCATCTTGGATTTTGGGCCTTTGGAGGCAAAATTCGGCTTGACAACATTCGGATTTGGATTCAGCGGGGTCCAACCACTCTAGAACCGCCACGTTGACAAATGTCGCACGAAATGCCCCTTAGAGAAAAAATTCTGAAAATGTCCACTAGTCTATGTGGCCGCGGGGGTGCCGCGGGGCCGCCCCGCCTCACCCGCGCTGGCCCGCTAGTCTCTCGACGTGCTCAGCCGCCTTGCCTTTGGTCGAGGTGCACCGCGCGCTGCACTGTGCTGCACTGTGCTGCACTGCGCCGCACTGCGATGCACTGCGCTGGCGGACTGGCCGCGCTGGACTGGAGGCCCCGGGCCTTCGCTCCCAGCCCCGGCACCGACCCTCTCGCCTGCGCCAAGCCAAGCCCGCTGACCACCGGTTTCCCGCCCAGTCTGCAGCGCCAAGTCAAGTCCGTCCGGTCCGAGCAGAGCAGAGCCGCGCAGCAGAGCTCAGGGCAGAGCGGCGGGGCGGAGCAGGCGGAGCCAGGACTGTCTCGTCCCGGTGCAAGGACGGCTGAAGGTCGGCCCGGGTGGGCCCCATGCCCGCGCAGCCCGCGCACCCCGCGCAGCCCCGCGAGCGCGGCCCCCTCCCGCCCCGCGCTCCCGCCGCGGCTCGCGCTCTCTCCCACTCGCGGCCCGGGGCGCCGGGTCGCGCCGCGGGACGGGGACGGTGCACGACGGCGGCGGACGCAGCCCCTGCGCCACGATACGCCCATAACCTCGACGCGAGCGCGGGCCTCGCAGCGCCGTCATGGCCCGTCGTCCAGCGGGCGCGCGGCCGCGGGTCACGCCCCAGGAGGGCGCGCTGCCGGCGGCCGGGCCCCGGTGCTACAGCCGTGTAGGGGCGGCCGTCACGTCCCGTATCTCTATCTCGAGTATTTTGTCGCGTAGGCACGAGGGCTGGCGCTGCGGCCCCGCGGTCACTAGCAGCAGACGACGTCGGTGGCAGACGCCGCGACACTAGCGCCCCCCGCGGACACCGCGCATGCGCTTTTGCGCGCGCCATTTCGATCGCTTCGCGGCTTTGCCCCTTTGCCCTGCCGCCCTGCCTAGGCGTCAGGGTGGCGGCACGGAGGGGGTTGGTGGTGGTTGACAGAGGCCTGGAAGTAATCGGGGGGAAAATGGAAAATCTTGGCAGTTTAGGAGTAGCACAATGGGGATAGGTGAACGGGGCCGCTGTTTCAGTGAACGTTATGTTAGATCCATTAACCCGGATATAAACTTTTCGATGGGGGGCGGTCCCGGCCGCAGATGTCAACTGACTGAAATAGTACCTGCACTTCGGTTTCAGATACTTCCAAACTTTTGCTTGGTAATTTGACTTTGCGGTTTTCTCTTCCCATTTGAGCACTCCTGAAAATCAACAATGTTGGTCATTCGAAGGTTGCCCAGCTTAATTTACCGCCACCGGCAAGTAACTTGTGGGTTGATTTTGACAGGGTTATTCCTTGTTTGTGTCATTTACCTTTTAATGGATTGGGGGGTTGTCTGTTCTAATGTCTTGGTCTGGAGGCATGTTAACAAACTGGTATGTGCCATGCTCTTGGCTTGTATATATATATTTTTAACTTTACTTTAACGGCTTGTTTTTTTTTCCCACAGTGTGACAGCTTTGCAAAGGAGGAAATTGTAGGAAATTTATGCCCAGCACTATGTGTTGAGCAAAAGATTCGTGCCCCAGCATGTCATACATTTCGTGGTGGCAAAGAGGCAATATTCTCAGCAGAAAAAGATGATGGAACCCAGCTCATCTTTAAATACTCGGCAAAATATTCAAGGGTGAGACAACTGGATTAATATGAATAGAGCCATTCTAATTTGGGAATTACATTTTTTTTACTTTTCTTTCAGGATTCCGCCTTGAGCGAGACTATGTTTCAGCCTGACAGCTTTGGAAGGATACCTGTCCCAACTGAAGTAGAATACAAGTACATGTTACAAGAATTGCTTGTTTCCAAGCTTAATACTTCTGTATCAGAACAACAGGTGAAATTTTGAATCTTTTTTAAATCTTAACTTATCTTGTTCTCTGGATTGTAGTTATTTATTTCTATTTTTAACCTTATGGTCTAGGTTACATCTCTCATGAGAACAGTAATACAACATGAATCTACTCACCCAAGTTATGGAGAAGAACTTCTAAACCTATGGCTATTGGCACATGACCATGAATTTGTGTGCTCTGCTCTCTTTGGTGATCGGGGTGTTTTCCCTCGACTACTTGGTGTATGTGGAAAGTTTTATGCTGTTGAATACCTGGAGCCACTTCCTGCTGATGCTGGGTGGCCTGACAGAGTGAGGCTTGCTGTTATGACTCTTGAACTTTTGGAGCAACTGGAAACGGATCTCCCTGAACCTTTCCATCTTTGTGATGTAAAGGTAACATAAACATTTGTTGTGATGTATGCTAATAGTTGAACAATTGAAATCAAGTTTTCTTTATCAGTGAAACACTCATTTTTTAAAATTATAGATGGATCACTTTGGAATTGCGCCAGGTGCACAAAGAATCAAGTTTTTGGATCTTGACTCTGTTCTGCCGCGCAAATTTGCTAGCCACATTACTGGGGATGGACGCCTGTGTGAAAGGCATGCTGACTGTGATTTCTTTGATTGCCGTTCACGATGTGGAGACCTGAGTGGCACATGCGACTATCCTGTGACCAACAATAATCTCCAAGTAATTATAAACTAATCATCATTCTTTCCTGTCTTGATTCAGGCATGATTATGAAACATTTTTTTCTTTTCTTTCCAGATTGTTTGTGAAAAATTATTTGTTGGCTGGACAATGTCAGGGACTGTAGTAGTTCCAGGTCTCCTTATGTCACCAAAAACTTCATCATCACTTTCTGCTCTTCTGCGTCTCTGTTCTAATCCAGATTCAGAAACTAATGATCTTGCTAGATCTGCTGCATCAGATCACACAAGAAGAAGACTGTATTCCATGCTGTCTGAGATGTATAGTTCTCTTAGCTTACTTGACTGATCTATTGATATATATGTAAGTGCCACTATATGACACATTTCCAGACTGTAGTTTTAAACTAGCCAAAGTAGATTTACTCAATGTTAACTAGTTTCTTACTGAATTTTGGTGAGAAATAAAACCTCTGTTGCTTTTTATAAATGTTTTATCCTTTGAGCAGTATTAGTTTTTCTTAATCAGAGATTCCATGTAGTAATAGTAAGTAGTTTTAGTACCTCATAATTGTGATGTGTTGGAAATTTACCTTAATACTCTTGACAGTATTGATATTGTTAAACAATATGAACTGAGTAACTTTTACTATAGTGACTTCACTGTACAACCAGCAAGTTGTTTTATCGGACAAAGCCAATTCATTACTTAAATTTTGTTGTAAAAAAAGTAAAACTGAAATTGGCTGTGCAGATAAAGAGATTGGAAAAGACACAAAACATAATCAAAATGGTATATACTTGGTTTTGAATAGTCCCTATTTCTGTTTGGCATTATGTGGAAACTTGCGTAAATCTGTTACTCAGTCTGAAAATAATAAATATGTTTTACAACGTGTTCTTTTACCCCTATTCAAACTCTCAAATATAGGCAGCAGTTGTGGTTTTGATAAGAGTTTGTGTTTTGGCGAACATTTTATTTAAACTATTACAGTTATACTTTTTAGATATTTTAGAACGCGTTACGAGCTGGATATATATTGTATGTTACATATCACTGACACAAATGACTAACTGGCTTATTAATTAAAGCCATGGCTCAAGATAAATAGAATAGAAATTTGTGGTAGTAGGAAATGCAGACACGAGATTATGAGAGGAAAAACAAGAAAACACCTAGTTAACAGAGTTCTAACAAAACATAGCCGATGCATAGCTGTCACAAACTCTCTCCAAAATTACTTGGTATTGATAGCCTTAAAATTTAAGTACCCATGGTATGATGTGTAAGATGTGCTGGCCATTGGCCAAGGTTTTGGTGCTCATTAAACTCAAAACTCATAATCAAGACAAAGAGTCTGCATTTTCTACCAGTTACAAATATCTACATATTTGGTGAAGCACATTGAGTACGTAAATATACTATTTAAATACACAGTGACGTCCAAAGAAAATTAAGAACATACAAAAATACAGTTTTAAAAGGAAACATAACTGGTAGATAAAAAGGATGAGTATTAATTTTGCTGAAAACTGGTAGAGGCCAACTATTAAAAACGTTAAGATAATAAATACTGAAATCCAGTCATGCATTAAAATTGTAAAGTGTGCATAGAAACGCCACAACAGAAACACTGATTGGTTTTAAAACTAATTGAGATCAAATATATATTCCACAACAATGAGGTGTGTGGTACACCAATTTTGGTGTAGCACACTCACAGATGGAACCTCTTATGATTATCAGTCCACAGCAACTATTAAGAAACTCTAAATTTAAAGCTTTACCAACAAAACATTAATGACTAAGGGCAGTCATTAATATTTATCAGTATAGGTATAAATATAGCAAAAATAAGATGATGGAAACTTATCTGAAGATTCCTTATTTAGCGTTTGCAAGATTTTGGAGTTTGGTCATCACTCGACTCATCTCAGCCTTTTTGGAGAGTTCAAGGTAATCATTTTTCAGAAGGCGCTTAAATGTCAACCAGCCAGGAACAGACTTTTCCATGAGTCGAATGTGCTCCTCCAACTCCCCTTGAGAAAAGAAAGAAAGGTAATTTAGAACATATTGTAGCAATACCAACTCCCAGGAGAGGTGACGATCAAAGTACTTACTTGGAGATAAAGCTGACCGATAACTATTCCCTACTTTCTCTAAGACTGTATCTAAGGGAAGAGTGCTCTTCTTCTCAGTAACAAATACATTGCGCAATATACGAGCAATTTCCGGTAGCCTTCCATACTGAATAGCTTCTTTATCTTGAGCTGAGGTCCGAGTCATTGATTCCAAGGCCTTAGCCGCCTCTCTTGCTCTTACCTAAATTAAAATAATTTTGTTTAGTAATTACAAAGTGTGATAACAAGATAAATTTCTAAAAAAAAAATTAACTATAGACCTTTTCTAGTAAAGCTTTAGGAATGCCTTTCAAGGCAGAAGACAATTTCATACTCTTGAAGGGTGAAGTTGGTGGATTAGTTGGAGTTGGGTTTACAACTTGAACATTTACTGTTGGAACAGCTGGGCTATTAGCCTGAGCAACTGACTCTAGAGCTTTCTCCATGCGAGGATTGCATGAATACAGCTGCCTCTGTTTTGCTGAAATAATGAAATGTGTAATGTAATTAAAATATATTGCGTGTATCAGAGGAAAGTGCAAAGATTTTCAATTCTGTTTGGTACTAACCCAGAACATCTTTGGCAGACACACACTTTTCCAAATTTGGAGCCTCAGGAAGATGACCAGGAGCAATGCTTGGGACCTGATCTACAGCAAAATCTGGATGCCAGCGCGTCAGGCTTCCTAAAGGAACTTCCATCGGTGGGTCAAGAGATTGCAGAAATTCCTAAAACACCAAATAGAGTTAAATTACTATGCAACAGCAAAGAATGCAAATACCAAGGAAAAGATGAGAAAACCACGAAAACAAAACAAACCTGATGATGCTTCTTGACTATGTCCAGAAGGTTGTTGTAAAATACTCTACGTCTCTCCAACAACAAGGACCCTGTTATAGTTGGACCAGCAGATTTTTCACCACCAGGGTTACTGGAAATGACAGGGGAGACCACTAGGTGATACTTGTCTTGCTCTGATGGTACTCCAAAATTACGTATCTTGTCATATTTCAGATTATACGACTCTGGAAAAACTGCTAGTATCTGGGCAAGATGATTAAGGGTAAAGGCCCTGTAATTAATAAGGTTAGTTAGTCTTATTTCTCAAGCACATTGTGGCACACTCCATCATAAAAATTCACATACTTTCGAGTCATATTCTGAACAGCAGATTGCAGCTTCTCAAAGGTAACAACTTCTCCACGATTATGCATTTGAGATGAAGTTTGATCAACACAACGGAAAAAGTCCCCAAGATTACGATAGCTGTATGGCAAGGGAAGGGATGTTGACCCTGGTTGTGCAAGTGAAGCATATCTCTGGAATGCAGGACTTCTTGACCCAGCAAGGCCCTTTAATGGACTCTTCATAGGGCTCTTCATGGGCGATTTTGATGGGCTATGGGGTGAGAAACAAATCCATTATAGGTAACAAATGTAAGTGAAGTTGTTTTTTAAAACATAACATAATAAGTACCTGACTGGAACTTCCAGCTCTATAGCATTGAACTGAATAAGCTGAGGAGACAAATTAGAAGCTTCCTGCTGCTTTTTCTTAGTCTCCTCAATCTTCTTCAACTTTTGACGGCCTTCATCAATGCGAGCCATACTCGCTTTAAGTTCTGCTAAACGAGCAGATCGTGTCAATTTTGATTTAATGTCACCAAGAGAAAGTTCCTGGAAATGAGAAATAATTTTTTTTTTTGAGTGATTACATAAGAACCATTTGGGTCATTTTTGAAGTGGTTAAGATGTAATCCAGAGTAAAACTTAAGATTTTTCTTTTGACCTTAAGCATGTTCTCTGGTATATTAATGTAGGAGAGGTGTATCAATAACAATCATTTACTTTCAGATTGCCAATTTTTATACTCCCCCTAATGGTTATTTCAAATGAAGTAGAATTCTTTTATGAGCATTAGCATAAAAAGGGAACATGAATGTATTTCTAGAAGTAGCCTTGAGAGTTCCTTCATCTCTCAAGAATGTTCTCTAGAATATCGTAATATAGGAGAGGTGTATCAATGACAATCATTTACTTTCAGATTGCCACTTTCTTACTCTCCCTAATTGTTAATTCAAATAGAAAAGAATTCTCTCATAAGCATTAGCATAAAAAGCGAACATGAATGTATTTCTAGAAGTAGCCTTGAGAGTCCCTTCATCTCTCAAGAATGTTCTCTAGAATATCCTAATATAGGAGAGGTGTATCAATGACAATCATTTACTTTCAGATTGCCACTTTCTTACTCTCCCTAATGGTTAACTCAAACAACATGGAACTCTTTTACAAGAATTAGCATAAGAAGGTAACAGAAGTATTTCTAGAATTAGCCTCAATAGTTCTTTCATCTCTAAAAAAATGAACTATAGAATCTCTTAATATTAGAAGATTTGCAGCAGTGACAATCATTACCTATAAAACTCCCACTTTCAGACCAAAGAAACATACCATGATACTATAAACAGCTTCATTGTTCCAAACTTCCTGGTTGCTTTCCCACTGATCAGACATTGGTTCATTTAAAAGGGGCAAGTAATGACAGAACAACAAATATTTTTTTTTAAAGCCCAAGAGAATTTTGCTTTGTCAGGAACACAAGACACAGTGAAATAAAATTGAGAGCGACAGCTGTCTCCACATGTGCCCAGTCACTTCAAAAGATGCTATAGCTGCAGTCTACTCCCCCCACTACAATAGGCCATGTCAGCAAATCTACCTGACACATCCACACACAATGAACGGCTCCAAACCAGTCTGGCCAGGTCCAACATCAAGGTTAGATGCAGCTGATTGATCCTAGCATAAAGATCACATTTCATGCTGATTATAGAATCTTTCACAGCAGTGAAATGGAAAAAATGCTACAGTAGCATGTAAACAGATTTGTCGGATTTCAACTAAAATGGTAACAACAGAGGGCTTGTAAGTACGTTCAAATCCAAAAGGATGATGCTAATAAAAAGTGAAGGCACGACAATAACCTGAACTTGTAACAAAGGCAAAAAGAAGCCACTTACCTTTCTTGCTTTCTCCACATTGCTTTCCTTTCTCTCAGCACGGGTAACATTTGGTTCTTGAATGATTGACGAGCTTGTGTTATCTTCCGCAGTTACTGTAATAGCAGGAATAGGCTGATGATTAGCTTGCGTCTCAAGCTCTGAAATGTTTGATGAGCTTCCTTCGACACATTTCTCATGTTTGATGTCTGGTAATTGTACATCTTCTGAAGCGGAATCCTTCTCCTTAGTAGAAACTTCTCCAACCGGTTCTTCCTTGATAACATTTGAGGAGGCCATAGATGGACTTGGCTCTGATTTGACATCACCTCTGGCAGCTACTTTGCCAAGAAACATCTTCATATCTGCCTGTTTAGGATCCTTAACCTTGGTGGTTTTGCGCGTCGATCGGGCCGGAGTCTTGGGCTTGGGCGTGACTTGAGAAGAAGCTGCAATCAGCGGCTTTACCTTTGAAGCAGCAGCATCTGCAGAAATTACTACCGTAGCCTCGACTTCAATGCGGACGCTGGGCTGACTTGGATTTTCGTCGGACTTTGCACGTCCATAACCTGAGATGATGTCCGACTCCAGGGCTCTAATTTTGGTAGTATTGCCTTTCAAATCGTCCACTGCTGACCTCTTACGATTTGTGTAGAAATTAGTGATAGTTGACTGAGCCATAGTCAAGTCGGCTTGTAAGCTAACTTCACTACACAACTCCCCAGATCAAACCAAATTGGACAAAAATGCTTCCGTGTCAACCGTCTTCTACTTCCTTTCCTCCTTTCAGCGTCTGCCGAGCACAAGCGATTCGCGCCCTTTTGGCGGTTACGCGGTTTTTGAGTTGTTTAGAAACGTTCTCAATATTAAGAGAAGGCTAGTGCAAAGTTTGCCAACCTATTCCTGTTATAGCGAATCTGTAGCGCTCATACATCATATTTAAAAAAAATTATTGTTTATTTTTAATCTAATGTTAAAAAGTAAAAGAGTCATCAGCAAACTAATAAGTATCGTGGCTTTAAATGTGTGCGAAAGAACAAATACCAGAATATGGGAATTTATGTTTCCCTCACTGCTGAGAATCTAGCAGAAAGGTGTCGTCGTCAGCTCAAGCTCTCAATCTTGGAAAACAAAGTCTTGTCAAAAACGGAGGCAGACGCGTGTCGGTAGATTCCAATCGGAGGGAATCAAAGCTATATTGCCAGTGCCTAGGCGTGCCACGTGTGAACTGCTGTCTTTTCAGAAAAATGTAAATGCGTATTTAAATTTGCTGTTTCGTTCTAACCTCCAGGCTTTGACAGTACCTGGGTCCCGTCATTTTTGTTACACTTAGACTTTGGACTGTTTGTTGAAAGCGATTTTGTTCATTCCCCTGTAGTCATTTCCTTCTAAGAGATGGAAATTCGGTGCGCTGTTCAACCCTATGCGTGGGGCAAACTTGGGCACACAAGTGAAGTTGCATCATTACAAGAGTGTGCCCATCCTGATTTTTGCATTGAAGAAACCAAACCTTATGCAGAGTTATGGATGGGGGCACATACTAGTGCTCCTTCACTCATTAAGGTGCTTTGTAGCATATTGATGAAAAGTCATTTTTGCAATCTTAAACTTTTGGTCATGGTTAACTGATTTTGTCACTGCTTTCATTTTAGGGCTCCAATGAAAAACTAAGTGAATGGATTTCTAAAAATCCAGATGTTTTAGGAGAAAGTGTCCGCAATAAATTTGGAGATGAGTTACCTTTTTTGTTTAAGGTTCTCTCAGTGAACAAAGCACTGTCAATTCAAGCTCATCCTAATAAGGTCAGTAACAAATTTAACATGATCATAATATTGTCCTCCAACTGAAAATCTTTTTTCACTAATCTGTTCTCTGTACAGGAACATGCTGAAAAGCTACACAGGGAGAGACCAGATATTTACAAGGATCCCAACCACAAACCAGAGCTTGCTATAGCCTTGACACCTTTTGAAGCTCTTTGTGGATTTCGTCCAATCCAGCAAATAAAACAATTCCTTGATCGTGAGTGGTTTTAACAAGATAGACTTAACTTGATACTTATCAGTCTTTTCGGTTATATCAAGTGTTGCCAAATTATTTTTCTAAGGTATCCCTGAGCTGAAAACAATTATTGGAGAGGCTGCCTCTAATCTGCAGGCTAGCGATGAGGCTGGAATACAGTCAGCATTGAGGGATTGCTTTCAAGCACTAATGACATGTCCAGCAGAAACAATTCAAGAGCAACTTTCTATGCTTGTTGAAAGACATTCTACTCTTGGTGGGTAATTTAAAATTATTTTGAGATTTTGAAAAAAAAAAAAAAAGAAAGAAAAGAGCATTAAAATAAGACCCTTCTTTTTCAGATGAATCTTCAAGATCATTAGAAAATGCTAATCTAATTGCAAAGCTGTCCTCAGAATTTCCTGGAGATGTGGGATGTTTCTGTGTGTATTTTCTTAATTACCTGATTTTAAAACCAGGAGAAGCTCTTTACCTCGGACCTAATGAACCACATGCATATTTATCAGGAGGTACTGTAAAAATGCTGGTTTAAAAACTGCCAAACTTTCTCTCTCCAATGTCAACAGAGATATTGCATTTATTTTATTTCAGACTGTATTGAATGCATGGCTTGTTCTGATAATGTTGTAAGAGCCGGATTAACTCCAAAATATATAGATGTAAATACTCTATGCTCTATGCTTACATACAATTGTGAAGAAGCGGATCAAAAGAGGTTCCAGCCAACAGCCGTAGACTCTTATACTCAACTGTTTTCACCTCCAGTACCTGATTTTGCGGTGGCCAAAATTGAGGTGTGTAATTTACATGAAAATTTAACCCAGAAAGCTACAACAAAAACTACAATTAGTTTGTTAAAATTATTTTATTTTCTAGATTCCTGGTGAAACTTCAACTTACGACATTGGACCACGGTCTTCAGCTAGTATCATTTTAGCTGTTTCAGGAAATGGGTGTGCACAGCATGATATGCCAGTTAAGCGAGGTTCAGTCTTGTTCATCCCAGCAAACACTGTTTTTTCCATTAGTACATCTGGATTGAAAGATACTCTTTTGCTTTTCCAAGCAATGGCAAATATCTAATGTTATGAGTAGAGAAGCTGCTAACTGCTAACCTTTGAGCTTGAGAAAGGGTCAAGCTCTAGCTTTGAGTCTTATGAATGTGGCATTCTGAAAACCATGCAGAGCACTGCATAGTACACTGCAGTGGCAGATATTGAAAATACTCATGACAACTGATCTCAAGAAACAAAATGCATATAAGTTCATTACTGAGTTGGTAAATAAAATATTATTTGAAACAGCCTTAATAATGAGATTAAAGTATAATTTAATTGTTGCAACCAGGGATGGAAAGCTGAAGGTTTTTGTTTCTTTTTGTTCCTTATCTACTCATGAATGTCAAGGCCAAGCAAGGTAGTAATATACGGATAAGGTATAAACTGAAGTGCTGGAACCTAATTCATGAACTTTTAACCCCCTGAGGAACTTAACTGCCATAGAATGGTTTACTTCTTGAGAACAGGTTTAACACTTGAAAAAATTTTCCTCAGCAAAAGAAAAGTTTCCAAATGAGTTAGAATTTAAAGGAAAGTTCTTATGGGCAGTAACTTGTAGCTCATCATCTGACACCTTCTCTGTGCAACCTGTTTTTGGCTTTGGCATTCACTAGTAAATGAAAAGGAATGAATGATGAGGAATAAAACTCCGAAGTTTCCATCCCTGGCTACAATTTGTAACAGAATAGTCAGAACCATTGTGATATTTACAAGATTTTGGTGATGCTTTTACTTGAAACAATATTTAAAACGGCCATTACTCATCACTGAGCGTCAAATGTCTTTGTGATACTTTTGCCTAGATTTTAATGGTTCATTTATTTACTTCTGAAGTAATGCAAGGTTTACGCAAACTAATGTTGTACAGATCTAATAGATTTAAAATACAGGTTTTTCTGAAATGATCACTTTAAATTTCAAGCTTGGTCAATGTATTTGAAACATATTTGTGCTAATACTAAGGTTTTATTTCATTTACAGTTGTTCTTTTTTCCACTTCCTTTAAATAATCTTCTTTTAGTAACAAATTAGTTTTGAATTTCTCATTAGTACTCAGGTTTGGAAGCACTATAGCTATATACCCATCTGAGTCGGGTTTATCAAACAACAACTGAGGATTTTCAACTAAATTTTCATTGATTTCAATTAGCTTGCCAAACACACAACTCCGTACAGTATATGTAGTACCATCCTCACATTCAAGCATACACAATATTGACATAGGATTCAAGGTCTGTGCACCATGTTTTCGCTTTCCCTGAACCGTATTCTGAAGCCTATTTGTTTTGTCAGCCACTTGAAAATTAACTTTTGAAATTGTTTTACGGGATGCAATTACTGGATGTGTGGGAGCTAAAGTGACAATACAAATTCTATTGGAATGAACAAGTACACAGTGATCTTCACTAGTCTTGCCATCAACATCAATACTGTACTTTTGCTGGAAATATCGTTCTGTAAATGATGGATAAACCTTCTGAATGGGTACGTCGAGGCCTATGGGATCCACAATAGAAGCCTTCATCCTGATATTCCGTCTACCGATGCAGCTTTTCTTAAAAAGAGAATTACTGTTTAATCTGGAAAGAGAATAGAATGATAGATAATAATAATAAAATAAAAGTAATAGACATGTGCATGCTGAAGAATCAACACACACACAACCTCTTCAACCCAACAAGTGGTAAGTGAAATATGAAGAATAGAAACTGTCATGTGTCTTACCATAAATGACAGACAGTTGTGGAAGAGAGGCTGTAGTACGCTAAAAGATTGACCTGGACTTCACTCTAAAAAGGCATAAATTAGACTAAACGAGCGAGGTTCGAACGATTGTGGAACATCTTGTGGATCCATTTTGGTTCACTGTTACCACTACACCAAGGCGAAAATGATGTTTTCGTTTTTGATGTGGACGGAAACTTTAGGATAAAGTGAGTGTATTCTTCAAAAATAATTCTTTCAAACTGAAACCGATAATTCCAGCTCAAGTTGACTTTGATGAAGGGAAAGATTCTTGCAGAATATAATCTTTGTCAAACCTGTCATTTTCGTCTGCTTACTGTTGTCAAACTGAACTGAACGACTGACGTGAGCTGCTGCTGGAGCTGGAGCTGGAGCTCACTGGAGCCTAGCTGGAGCTGAAAAGGAGAATGAACTTCAGCTGATTGTTGATTACGGGCCCCATCACAACCATGCCCGCAGCTCAGAACACCGAGCGTGTAGTGCGCAAACACCCAAGACCACACACCACTCTGAGGGAACCAAGTGAAATCAGTTGCTGCCTCAAATATGTCATATTTGGGTCCAACGTCTTGTTCTGGGTCAGTGATCCCCTAACCAAAGTCATTGTTTTCTTTGAAACGGATGTTGCTTCGAACTTTTCTTTGAACTCCTTTGATCTGCTTCGGGTCCATTTTTCTTGTATGTGATGTGAATTCTTGCATTTTGTTCTAGATTTTGGGTCTCTGTATCATGGTAATTGGTATTTGGGCTTGGAGTGAAAAGGATACATTCAACAATCTGAGCCGTCTCACCAATATTGCACTGGATCCAGCATTTGTTTTGATACTTGTTGGTACGTATAAATGCAGTAGAACGATTCATCTATCTATTTTTATCTTATGTGCACTAATACCAACTGAGCTTACTACCTCTATGCGTAACTGGAGCAACTTGGACTTGCTCTAGTTCGTGATTATGACATTGATTCAGCCTTCATTCATTTCTTTTACAGGTACTCTCACCTTCGTTATTGGATTCACAGGTTGTGTTGGGGCTCTGAGGGAAAATACCTGTTTATTATTGGGGGTTTGTATAACTACTTGAAGGGTTCATACTCTACGCTATTCCTCTATTAGTTAACAATATTTTTATTTTGCGAATGTGTCCTTTTCCTTTTCAGTATGCCATCATTTTAGCCCTGCTTCTGTTGGCCGAAATGACTGTTGGTACTCTAGGATTTGTCTTTAAGGATTGGGTAAACACCTTTGCACCTTGTGTCTTATGTAAATAAAATGGAATAAGTCACTCTTACAGATGAAAACTGAGTAATATTCCTTTATTATTTGTTACAACAGATCAAAGCCCAGGCAACTGGGGGATTTCAGGCATTCATTGTACATTACAGAGAAGATCCCGATCAACAGAATCTCATTGACTGGATTCAAGAAGACTGGGTAAACTTCAAACTGACATAGAAAATTAGAAATTTTAACATTCCCTTAAATCATTCATTGATGTATCTTTCATCTCCTCCAGCTTCAATGCTGTGGCATTGAGGGACCCAAAGATTGGGACCGCAACAATTATTTCAATTGCTCCTCACGGGAAGTAGGCAGCAGGGAAGCTTGTGGAGTCCCTTTCTCTTGCTGTCGAAGAAGACCAAATGTAGGTGTAGCAACTTATGATACATAAATTAAGAAATTTGAACTGATAATATTTCAATCCAATATTACAGGAAATAATTAAAAATAAGCAATGTGGCTATGATGTACGGAAGCCTGGCTATGTAAGTATTAAAATCCTTATTTTGAAATAAATTTAACCTTTGCCTTCAAAATAATATTGGGGATAAAATTACGTATCCTAATAATTTATCTCTTGTGGGAGTTGGAGTTGGGTTGGGGGATGATTTGTGTATTCCACATGCACATCACATGTAGTTTAACCATATTAAATATAGTTTGTTTGTAATCTTAACAGTTTTCATACAATGCAAACATTCAATTACTGGTTTGGTTCTTAATTGTTTTTTTTGGGTTTTTTAATCATATTGGGAATTGCTTGCATGCCCTCTATGCAGGCAGATCTTGCACTATGGGATGGGAGAGGGTTGCACCAAAAGTTATATTTTGTTTTTCTAGATACATGAATTGTTCTTCTACCATTTTTGAGCTTTGCTTGGTTGCTGGTGGGTTCTTTCTCTTGGTGATGGGATGGTCTCATTTTACAAAATATCAGACATTAGTTAGATGTCAAAATATTTAGTTAAAAGTGCAATTTGGTCTTTTCGATGTTCTCCAAAATTTATTCCTGTCTATCTGTCTTTCTTTCAAGCTTTTAAAGTCCATTGTAAATTTTAAGTTTTCCCAGGGATCACATCATATACAGTCAACATTTGATTGGCAAATTTTTGAGAGAGGTTGTTTACGGGCAGGTGAAGAATGGATGGAAGCAAATTTATTTAGGGTGGTGATTTCAGGATTGACTGTTGGAATATTTCAGGTACACATATTGCATGTTGTGCTGCATGGTTGTGCTGAATGCTGAAGCATGGCATAGCTGCTTCTTGTGTTCGTAGTTTCTGTCTAGTTCACTTTGGTAGTTAGTTGTGCTCTTGCTCTTAGAAATTTTTTTAGTCCAGATATTGTTTTTACTGCATGTCTCCAGAACTATGACGTTGGAAAAATAATCTACGAGAAAGGTTGCATTCAAGCAGGCGAAGAGTGGGTGGAAAGAAATCTTTTAATCCTGGCATGTGCAGCAGTCGTCGTAGCATTTGTGCAGGTAATGTTCATTAAAAGAAATAACTGTATTTTATTTATTTTGATGCGACCTTTCAAGTCATTGTCTTTGCAACTACAATCACCAGAAATAATTATCGGGAGTCCTCTGGAAGGTTTATCATTTTCCTGCTGATAAGGCATTTTGCATACTGTTAATTTATTTTGTAGAAGGTAGTCTAATGTTTTCTGCTCAATTCGATGGTAGTCCTTTTTTTCCTAGAATTGATGATCAAGTAGTAGTGAGTCCTTATTAATGTTGAATGAATGCTTAGTGAGCTCTCAACATCTGAAATGCTCACCTACCTTTTGCCCTTTGCTTTTCCAAGTTTAAGTATTCAAGGTTTTTGCACCATTTTCAATTATTGAATGCACTTTTTGCAAGATTAATTATGCTATTGTTGAAGTTAGTAGGGTATTTCTGGAATCTAAAGAAGTACAACAATACACTCTAAACTGGTCTCTATCAAGCGCTGATTGGCCATCGCCGTATGATGCAATCAAAGGCCAATCAGCAGGTGGGAGGAATCAGTTGAGGGAGTATTGTTATTGTTTTTCTTTGGGTTTCAATGAAATCCTAATGAATTTATTTTGAACCTTGTGATTAGCTAAAACTAGTCCTTGAGTTAAAAAAATAAAAATAATCTGCTCTTGGAATGTTTTGTTGCTTATCAATCAAGTATTACCAACTGACTTTCTTAGCATTAATAGTGAAGAGGAAAGAATTTGTGTTTAACCAGTTACCTTGCTTTTTCCAGGTCTTGGGAATTTGCTTTGCTCAACATCTCCGTAGTGACATATGGGCTCAAAAAGCAAAATGGCATTGACAATTGCAGGCCTCCACTGCAGTATAGCAGATGGGGCCGACAATTGTTTTCCATGTGTGATATGACTCAGGTCAGAGCACTCAGTAATCCTCAACCTCCTACTGAAGTAGGGCTTAGGACTGGTGCAAAACACCTCACAAACATTGGTGCTACTGTAATTTGGTATAATTTTGCCTGTACTTAAAAGTTTAATCAAGCGGCATTTTGTTGAGGTATAGCCTCTCTATTTTATAGCATTGAATTTGACTTTGGTTTGTGATAACATATTAACTATTGAAGTTGTTTATTGTCTTCCCTGTGTGTTGTAAAATGAGAAAATCTCACATTTCAAGTAGTAGTTGCTTGGTTTATAGACTATTTTTTTCTCCTTACTAATGTAGTAACGAAGCAACTCATTCTTTTTTTATTGATTTCCTAAATTGTGAATTTTGTTAGCATTCCATACCTGTTTTTAACTGCACAGGTAAAAATGTCTTGTGAGAGTACAACAAAATTGTATATAAAAAAATTAGTTGCTTTGTTTTATGTTTATTACAGAGTATGAATTAGATGCCAGTTTGATAAAATGTGTGTACAGTATTACAGGACATTCTTCATCCATGAAGGCATTGTTTGGCTTTAGATTCTTTTAGTGTTCAATGAAAGAAATACTTATTGATTGATGAGATGTAAGATACATTCTAAGTGCGTGAGCACTGGCTTGGAACTTATCCTTTACTAAACCGCTGTGATAATATGAAGCATTTGTGAAAAAGAACTTGCTAATGGGCAGGGGAAATAATTTTATTAAGCACAAGTATTAATCATAGAGGTACGTACATTAATTTCAATATCAGTATAAAAAGAGTTTTATTTAATGTATTGTCTTTACTGTTACGGTAGTGAAACAGCTACTGTAGAATTCACTATTCGTGAATTAGCTGACTCAATTTTAGCATTAAGGAGACTTTTAGATTTATGTAAGTTTTAAGAGTTTGCACTGCAGGTGTCCCACAAACCTGCCTCTCCAGCTCTCCTATTTTCTCAGAAATGCTTTTTTACTGTTTTTTTTGTTTAAGGGAATACCCTGACCAGAGATGATTTTATATAGTAGCCCTTATTGATTTAAAAGTTTGATTTCTCTTTTTATTTGTACACCTGTGATGAGATTTATTTAAACCATGCCTATTGTTAAATAACTAATATTATTTTGTTGTAATTAACAATATGGAAAAAAATATTATATTAATTGCAGAATAACTCGTTGTCAGTCTGTTGCACCTCCTTACTAATATAACATATGGATGAATTCTCAAAGTAACACTCAAGACATGGAACATTGGTTTGATGATGCTCGCTTACAGCATTATTAAATATACTTCAATATTACCTCTCTTAGTACATTAAATAAAATAATGGAACATGGAATCTTTGTTAGAGTATAATGAAAATTAATTGATTACTAAATATTTTTACCACAACACAACTTGGTACAGCTATTTACATCACACTGGCTTGAAACATATAATCTTAATGCTAAATAAATACTTGATGAGAAGCAAGGCTGTCAGAAAATGGGGCAACCAGCAGAGTTGAAGCAAAATAAAATATAAGTCCAAATGTAATGGAAATGGGCAGTGCCGGAAGAGCTTTTTTCAGTACAGCTAGCAAAAGAAGAGTCAGGCACAGTCCCTAAAATATAAAAAAGCACTGTCATTAAAAGAAATTGTTTAAATTCCATTAAACAATTACCAGTGGTCCACAATGAATACTTACGATGAGTATAGCCACAAAGCACGCAAATGTAGTGTTCCAATCACCATATGATGACGCTTTCCCCACCAATACACTGTAGAATATGAAATCTCCAAGACCTAGTTTCACACCTCCTGAAAATTTCAAAAGTAGGATTTTTAATGGCTTGACATTCACTAGCAACTAAAGGAATCTAAATGAAAACTTCACTTACGCTCCTCATCCTCCCGGATACGGAATGGACTACGTCCAGCAGGCTGTCTCCTCTGTTGGTCATCACCTAGATGTTCGCCATCTCCAAGACCAAGTTCATTGGCAACATCATTTTGGCTGGAATTGCGAGGTCGAATCTGCACTTCTTCTTCATCCATGGCCCTTCGCCTTGCAGCTTCTCGCTCACTTGCTTCTTCTCTCCAAGAGGGTACAAATCCACTTTCAGTATCTCCTAGACCCCGTCAAAAAATGTGAGTAAAATGTGGATTAATCCCAACTTAAAACGAAATAAGTGCAAATTACAGGATATTAATTTTGTTACCAGGAGAATCCATCTGAACACCAGAAGACGAACCAGTAGTTTCATTATTTGCAGTACCAACAATTGAGTATACCACTGTAGCTGTAACGAAAAGAACATAAATGAGTTATATGTATAGATACATAGAAATTTGATACAAACATGAGAATGTATGCGGGCGCTGTAATAACTTACAAGAATATATAAGGGCAGGGAAAATGTTTTCATTCCTTTCTTGAGCAGTCTCAACTAATATGCGCAGTGGACCATTAGGTGTTAAAACAGCCACAAGATCTAATAGAGATATCAGAAAACATGAACATGAAAACACGCATCCACAGTGAGAGGTTACAATGCAAAATATTTTGGAAACTTACCCCAAATTGAAATAACACCTAAAACAACCCATGTTGTCCATTCAGGCAAATATTTGATAAAGACCAAAGCCATTAAGGCAGCAACAAAGATGAGATAAGCCTGCTGAAGTCGTAAAGGTCCAACCCAATGAATACAAATCATCCCCATAACACCAAAATTCCACAACAGCAGAACTGCAGTTATATGATCAAGAGCTATGTTGTAGGCACGTAAGCATTCTCTGTAAAAAGAAACAGTAAAATAGTTTTCAGACCAAACAAATTTTTAAGACTTGAATATACCAAACTATAAGTTCATTTTACATACTCAAGGTATAAATAAGAGAAGATGAACAGGAGGATGAAAGATGAAAGTATGAGCCAGCCATGGATGACCTGCAAGAGGTAACAATTTTACTAAATGGTATACGGGCAGTGAACTAAAAGGTTGTAAATTTAATTGTTTAAAATTACCATGTAGCAGCGATATTTGTAAAGAAGAATTAATCCAATTGTCATAATGATTATGACCACCATGAGAATTCCTGCATTTGCTAGAGCATTCCAAACTTTGGTGCTTGCCAAGGGACTTGTTTCATGAAATGGTGTATAGACCCTGATACAACAGAAGTATAAGTTACACTATAGTAATAAGAGCATCACTTGTCAGAAAATAAGAGTAATTAAGAAGTAAAAGGCAGACTTACAGATAAATGCCATCCTTTTTTGAATAAAATCCAATTGAGCTGATGGTTGATACAACCACTAGCATACATAATGATACTGGTACAAAAAGTTTTATTACATGTTGGGCTCCATATCTAAGTTCTTCCTGATCATTTAACCACTCAGCAGATTGATCTCCCGCACGTCCAGGAGCACTATTAACATCGCCATCATTCTAATAAAGACATAAAAATTATCATAAAGTTACAAAAATATAATATCATAACAGACAAATAAGGAACGCTTATCCTCACAATGTTCTCTGCTTGTTCCGGTCTAGGTCTGCTCCTTCTCTCTTTATGTCTGCGCTCTGGATTCCGATCTCTTACTTCATCAAAATCATCCCCCCTCACCCTTGCTTCATCAATATGCCCGTCCATGAGTCCAGCTGCTTCATCAAGTAATCCCGACATCCGCTGAAATAATGAATGAAATAGGTCAAATTGAAACAAGTAGCAAAGTGAGTCAATCAAAATAGGTAAGAAACCGAAAACACCAATTGGTGTGCAATTCACAAGTGGTAAGGGTACATTAGCAGAATTTCATAAGGCAATTAGTATTTTAAGAATATATCTAAAAAAAAAAAAATGAAAAAAAGGGGAGAACCTTAGTGTTATAAATTTAAATATGAAAATATCGTGTAGTTCAAAACTTTCCAACTACATCAAAAACTGCAACAAATAACAAAGCCAAAGATGACAAAGTGACAGAAACGAAAATGTAAGGTTAGGTATTGAAGAAAAATTCTCTAGAGATATCTTCCAACACTATGACTGTAAAATTATACTCCTGGCAACGCAAAGAAATTACCTGTATAACTAGAAATATAAGACCATTACAATGTTTCTAGACGTGTTGTTGTTTTGTTGTTGAGATGTACAGAAAGCCTAATTGTTATTTACACAACCCCGCTGCTGTCTGTCAACCTGCGAATACTGCCGGCTGCCGGCTGCACCTTAAGGCTTTCTATTGGCAGTCGCAGGTGGATCGGATGCGGTGCGGATGAATCGGACATCCGGGAAATGGTGTTGGGACCGGGCGGTAGTGAGGTAAAACCAAGTTGGACGTTGCCCTAGCTTGTTGTGTTGCTAGTCTTACTCACGAAAGAGTGCAGTGGGACTCTAAGAACGCCGAGAGGTTCGAGTGGCAAACTCCCGGACGCCGGACGAGTGATGGTGTCGAGTGGTGTATATGTACCTACCCCATTTGATTCGCCCCAACAACGGATCGAAACGGCCACCTTGCATGGTACATATCTAACTTACTGATGTGAAGCAGAGTTTGGGAAGAGAAACCCTTACAGCCATATCTTCAGGGCGCCCCGCCCGGCCACACCACATCGGGTGGCTAGCTACGCTGGATTTCTGCCCCCCCCCCACGTTTTCCTCTTGCCCGGGGCCCGGTTCAGCGGCTTTCTCAGGGAGGCTATATGCGCGTCCCAAGGATGTAACGGCTCGGTGGCTAAACTGTGCCTCAGGCAGGGCCATGCCAGAAGTCCTTTGTGTGACCGGGTAGTCACGACGTCACGCTGGACGGGATATTTGCCCGAAACCTCTGGGGGTTGAAAGGTAGGGGAGGGGAAGGGGGGTGTCTCATATTCTGGCTGCCTTGGTGGCGGCAAGGATGTTGATGTGCTCCGCTCCTGCCCCGTCCGTCCGCCCGCCCGCTCGTCTTCCTGTCCGCTGTTTAGTCGCTGTGATGACTGTGACAGGGCTTCTCGAATGTCGCACAGAGTGAGACGAGATACACGCTCCCCGGGCCAGCTCCGCCAGCACGCGCGCAGTGCGGGAGAAAAGCCCGCGGGCCCCGCGAGCGCAGAAAAAGAGGGAAAAAACGGAGACAAAATAAGGAGGGGAGGCCACGCGATTCCTCGACTCCGTCTAATTGGCTGAGCTTTGTGCCCGACACGCTCCGCGATCAGGTCCTCGTCTCCTCCGTCGTCGTCCTCGCGGAGGTGGAAGTCATTAGGCGACATCGGCTGGCTGCGGCGCTGAATGCAGCTTCTCCCTAACGAGACGGCGCGGCATCACGGGCGGCACCAGCCGCGGCGGCGGTGTGTCCCCGGAAATGGAGCTGCCGGCTGAAGAGCAGGACTGTCACCGACGGTTTGGAGTGTGGGGATTGTTACTTTCTGTATGGCGCGCGCGGGGCTTTCAGCAAAGGCTGTCTTCCCCGCCAAACCCAACCACCCCCGACGACGCCGCCCACGCCTGCAGTCGCAGAGGACAGGGGTGAGTTCCGCATCCAGAGCCTCATCCAGTGCAACTGTCACACGACTCTTTCGCTGCTGCCTTTTTTGCAGGTGATTCCAGCGTCACGCGCCCCGCGTCGTTGCGTTTCATCCCCGATGACCCTGGCTGGCGCTGCTGGCGCTCAGCTTCCTGCCTCAACATCACGAGCGGGTCGGGCGTCATCCGGAGACGCAAGGTCAGCCCAGGCTGTGGTCCCATCTCACCTCACCCCCAGAGGACCCCGCGACGACCATCGAGCAGTGCTTGACCCTGAGGAAGAGCCGGAAGGTGAGTGGAGTGGAGCCAGGTGGAGGCGTGCAGGACTTACCCAACATCCCCTCCGGAGAGCGCGAGGAGAGCTGCTGTGACCCCCGGGAAGCCAGCCACGTCCAACCCGCCCGCGTGGATGGGGAGAAGGGGGAGGGAGGACGAAAAAAAAGTCCGGGTTTAGCGCGGAGTTAGGAGCTGATGAAGATTGGGGCGGAAAGCTGCACTCGTTAAAAGGACGCCGAGGATAGGGATTAGACACGCGTCGTGCCACACTTTTGCCGGAGGGTTGCGTCCGGAAACGCGCACCTGCGGCGTCGAGGTTGGGGTGGCGATGGGGTGTGATAGCCGTGGGGCGTGGGTAGCACCTTCAAGAGGAAAGTGAAGCAGTCACTCTTAACTAAACTTCGGGTTTAGTGTGAAGGAAATTTTGCAAATTTTTGGGGACTGCTGTTGTTGATGTGTTGTGTTGTTTTGCCGTGCACGAAGCAGCAGGGGTAATAAGGCCGGCGCTAAAGTCGCTCGCTCGCTCTTTATAGGCGCCATCATATCTGGTGAGGTTAGGTGTTTAACGCGTTAACGGCCCTTTCCGAAAGGGCGGTTGATTTAAGCAGAGATTAGGAGGTCTCACCCGCCGGTGGGGTCCACGGCCCCGCGGCGCCCCGCCTTAGAAAGCCCATAACATGAACGCTTTACAAATCCCAGGCCTGTTATTACCACCCTCTTTCTTTCTTTTTTTCCCCCCGCGAGCGTTTGGTGCTGGCTATGGGAGTTAGCGAGCGCGCCGGGGTGGGTGGCTGTTGCAAGAGCAGAAGCTTTCGCCCCGAGCCGGTCATTGTGCCATTCAATCACATCTGGGCTCGCCTCTTAAAACCGCGCGTTCCGTTAGCACAGAGTTAGCACCAACTGGAAATCTTATTTCAATCAGAGAGCGCCCTGCCTTTCCTGCCCAAATCCCCGCGCACTACGCCAGTGGACACTTTGTCATCCACCCCCCGTCTAATGGTCCCGAGGCTGGGCGAGTGGTCCCGAGTGGAGTATACAGGGTGTCCTGCAGCGGCGGCGGCAGCGGCTTAACTCTTGTCGGACTGCCCCGTGAATGGAATTCCTCGGGCAGCAGCGGGGCGGGCGAGGGTGGACCGCGTCCAGCCCCTTCTCCCTTCTTGGCCTTCCCTCCGGCCTGAGGTGAGTAGCCCCGGGGCCTGAGGGAGCCCCGCGCCCCGGCCTCGGCCCCGGCCAGACATTGCTTCTCGCATTATGGTCACGCCTCACGGCCTCCCCCCTCCCCCCCATGCCTTCCCCCCGCGCGCTGTTCAATCTCTGCCCGAAGACGCGCGCGGCGAAGCGAGGTGTCCTCTTCTCTCCTTTTCCTTTTTATCCCAACAATTTTGTTATTCCCGTCTTGTCTTGTCGTGATGCGCTAACTCACCCACCCCTCCCGCCGCCTGCCTTGGGGGGAGCAGCGGGTCCGCCCCGCGCACCCCGCCCCGCCACGCCACGCTACGCCTGAAGGACGACGGCGGCGGCCCGGGGTGGGTCAGATAAGAATGGCCAGAGCAGCCAGCAGCGGGCCCAGCCCAGTCCCCCGCAGCCCCACGCCTCATGGACTGGCCAGAACGCGTTCATAATCCATTCAAAAGGGCCCCTCCCCGCCCCGCCGCCGACTGCCGGACCCGCTGGGCCGTGCGCTCCCTATAACGTGGGAATGCCCGCCCCGGCCCGGCCCGGCCTGGCCTGGTCCGCCCCAATGGGGGACAATGGCGACACAGGCGACACGCGTCCAGGACATCATGTGGGCCTCGGTCCAGCAGCAACCCCTACCACCACCCGGCCCGGCCCCGCTAGGTAAAATGGTCCGAATCAAGTCACGTCACGTCTTCACTCTCGGCCGGGAGCAGCGGCGGAGGGGAGGCGGGGCGAGAGGGTCTTAATTAGCGAAAGAATCGGGCTGCGCGCGTTATGAAAGAAAGGAGAGACAGAGGTTCATATTCCGCGCGGCCGCTGAACCTTTGGGGCGCTGCTGCTGGAGAGGCGCCCGAGGGGTCTTTCACCTTCAATTCGCAAGCGTACACCAATTTTCCTGTTCTCATTGCTTCATTTTTTCAGAGTTTTCTTTGATTTTTCCTAATTTTCCCTGATATTTTTTCTGATTTTCTCCGTTTTTTTTCGAGGGGGAAACGACTGTTACACTCTCTGTCTTATGGATAACCCGGATACCTCTGGAGTTTCCTCCGGATTACGTTGATTTTTCTCTAGGATTACCCCGGACTACACTAAAACTTCCCCGGATTAACCCCGTATTTTTTGAAATTTCCTTGGATTACACCTGCCGGATTACCTAACGGCTGTCAGCCGGATTACCTTTAGTCGTTTCCCCCTCGATTTTTTCTGATTTTTCCTTGATTTTTATCTGATTTTTTTCTGACTTTTCCTCCATTTGTCTGATTTTTTTGGAGGGTGTTACACTGATTTTTTTGAGTGAAGTACTGGAGGCGCCCGCCCTCGCTTCGCGCGGCGGTAACGAAAACGGAATGAGTACCGCGCTCGTTGGGCGGGGAATGCGCAATTGCGCGGTGCGTCCTGCAGGAGGGCAATGACTGCCCCCCGAAGCACCCAACGACCCAGCGAGCGGTAGGACCTGGCTCCTGCAGTCGCTGGACTGGAAACGGCGCGCGCGGGGCTGCCGGGGGGCTGCTCACTCCATACCACTCCATGGCAACGGCGGGGCTCGGGGTGACGCGGCGCGACCCGACGACGACTGACTCCAGTGGCCCAGAAGCAGACCGGTATTAGCATGGATGTATGCGGCGGGGGGCGCGGCAGCGGGGCTGTGTGTCCGCGATACTGCTGCCATTCTCCCATTCTCCCCATGTTTATGAGCGCGTCGGGCGACACGTAAAACTGGGACGTAACGCGTTGGGCGGCCCACCACGCCGCGATGCGATATGAAGAAAAGGCCGTCCGCAGTCACGCCGTCGTCGTCCGCGGCGCCGGCAGCGGCAGAGGGAGGGGCGTCCCATATCCGTCAAGCATCGCCACATAAACGATATGCGACAAATGCAAGCTGCGGACGTGGACGAGCAAAAGGGTGCCTTCGCTTCCCCCACCCCCAACAACCCCCTCCTTTTGCCCCTCCACCCACACCCCCTCCGGCGCCCTTCCTCCAGGCACGGACCCCGACTCGTAAAGAGAGACAAACTCCCTCTTAAAGCCGACCAAGCGGACGCGGGGAGAGCGTGCCGCGACGTATCGACGGAAATCATCGCGGGGTGCGACGGTGCGGCGTGGCGCCGCGGGGCGGGGCGAGGCCCGGCCTCTCCGCCAGATACGCACCGCGAGATAACCCACAGAGAGTCAGAATCTGCTGTTTTGCAGAGTCGTGTTTTTTCCTAGCTGGAATTAGAAATCACGATGTGATATAGCACGATGGCATATAGTCTGGCAGAAAAAGGTGAAGCTGGAAGAGGGATGGGGGGGGGGAGGGAGGGGGCACCCGACACAAAACCTCTATGTATTTATTCTGCATGTTTGCCGGGCACGCGACCTGCGCCCCCTCGAGTTGCCAACATTAAAGGACCCAGAGTCACTCTCTGCGGGTCGCTGGGTGATCCTCTCTCCTGGCTCCAGGGTGGGAGGGGGAGGGGGGTCTGCGCCAGCCAGGGCTTTGGCCGCCCTGAATGGAAAGACGAAAGGAAAAGGAATGGCTCTATTGGCTGTTTAGTGTCTGGTCTGGCCGTTGGACCCGGCCGGTCCCCCCCGGCCACGGGCTGCTAGTTCGCGGAACGTTCTTTTCTCTATTAGCAATGAAATGGAATGGCCGTTGGATATCGGCGGCAGGGACAGCGGCGGCCAGCGGCGGCGACGGCGCCTGTTGCTCCAGCAGTCCTGCGAGCCGGCCCTGCGGACGGACATGCAGCCATGAAGGCCATGGACTCCCCGATCACCGCCTACGAGCTGCCCCCCTCCCTCCCTCCTGAGAAAACTATAATATAGCATCTAGCACATGTCTTGTTGCAGGTTTGGCGTTTTCTTTGATAACGTGTGGGCGTGGGCGCGGGTGGGCGTTGGTTTACTTTTGATAACAAATCAGAATAGAATAATAGAATCTTACGCATTTTCTCATAAAAAGTAAGACGGGGCCTGGCAGTGCTATTCTTCATTGCATTTAAAAGTTATTTTGGTCTGCTCGTGGCAGACTTCACACTTGTCTACGGGCCGGCTATGGCGACAGGGTTTCAAGATTAAATGAACCTTTCTGCGTGTCGCAGCCGGCTGGGAAACTTCGTAGACCTTCTCGCCATACTATGCGACACTGATGTTGGCGGAGAGTGAAACGCCCGCAGGAAATTGGTGCCCCTCTCGCTCCTCTCGCTTCTCGTCGTCTATCCGCGACATCGGCGCGTTTCGGTGGAGCAGCGCCGCCGAGCCGCTGATAGCCGGGCCATGTGACGGGGCGCCCCTCCCGGGCGCGGGCGCTTGCGGCACGAGTCATAACTTCACCATGGCTGGACAAACTAGCGGGAGCGCAGTCAGCAGCACAGCGCACGCCGCGCACAGGCAGGCCGGGGAGGGGTGCAGGGCAGAGCCGGGCAGAGCAGGGCGTCGGCAGGGCTGTAAAGGCGAGGAATGATCAACCACAAAACGCGGCGGGATGGGTCTGGGGCCGGGGGAGGGGGAGAGAATTAGTGCGGGGGCTCCGGCGGCGGCGGCCGAGCTCCATGTGACTCATGTCAGCACGCATGAATTCGTGATGGACCCTGATGAAGGGGCCGCAAGGGGAGCACCGCCGTCGAGTTGGCCTCGGGGGAAGGAGAGAGTGGGAGAGAGGGAAGGAGAGAGAGAGGGCTGCCCGGGAGGCAGAGCGACGACGACGGCGAGAGAGAATATTTCCTTAGCGACATTAATTTCCGGCAATGACGACGCAAACACTTTTGACCCGCGGCGCGGCTGCCTGACCAAGTTGGCCCATGAAAAGGCAAAACGCTTTGGACCTCTGTTTAGTGGCGGGGCGTGGC